ATGGGGAAAAAATAAGAACCAAGAGAGATTATGTAAAGGTGCAAATTTCCAATGATGAATGTCATTATACTGTATACCTAAAATGTACCAATAAAATTAAATTTAAAAAAAAAGTATAGGGCCAGGGATTTAGCTCAGTGGTGCCACTGCCTGCCTCGCAAGCGTAAGGTCCTGAGTTTGATCCCCGGTATCAAAATGAATAAATAAATAAATAAATAAGGGCTGGGGATGTAGTTCAGTACAAAGGCCCTGGGTTCCATCCCCAATACTGGGGGGGAAAAAATGAGGAAATGAATAGAACTAAATCTCAATTCTAAAATAGGCTTTATGTTGTGAGCTGCTCATTTACTTAAACTAATTTTCCAAAATGGGAATACCAAATGGCATCAAGACTTGCATCACGTGAAAGGAAACATTAGGTGTTTTGGGCTATTTACATTTTTATAGTTAGATTTCATATTCATAGTGTACTTCTAAGAAAGGCACATCAATGATTCTAATAATACTTCCATTTTATGTATGTAAGAAACTGAAAAAAAACCCTGGCATTCTAGGTGACATAGCAACTACAGTAAAACTTTTAAAAGAACCTAGGATTGGAGGGCCGGGGATTTAGCTCAGTGGTTTCGTTGCCTGCTGCACAAGCGCAAGCACCCGAGTTCGATCCCCAGTACCAAAAAAAAAAAGAACTTAGGATTTTTAATTTCTCAATCGATGTTTTAAGAGCAAAAAGGACAATCACAAATTTCAGAGTGAGAGGAAGAAACTATGTCTGGCACATGGTACGTGCACATTCAACATTAAAAGTTTTGCTGCTGACTTATTAAGAAAGACACTTAAGCAGTGTGCGTGTGTGTGTGTGTGTGTGTGTGTGTGTGCGCGCGCGTGTATGTGGTCTCAGACCCAATCCCCCTGCTAGGCAGGGTGGTGCACATCTGTAACTCCAGCACTTAGGAGGCTGAGGCTGGAAGACAGCCGTGAGTTTGAGGCCAGCCTAGACTACATAGTGAGTTCAAGGCCTGTCTGTCTGAATTACACAGCGAGATCTTGTCTCAAAAAAACCCAAACAAGCAACCATTAAAACACATTAAAAAAACACATTAAAAACACATTTAAAAAAATCCTTCTGATACTAAGTAACAACTATACATTTAATATCAGAAAAAGTAATGTTTCAGGACTCCATAGAAGAATCAGGATGAAGGGTCTGGGATTTAGCTCAGTGGCTCTGCTGTCTGCCTTGCAAGCTCAAGGTCCCACGTTCGATCCCCAGCACCAAAAAAACAAAAAGAATCAGGGGCCGGGGATTTAGCTCAGTGGTTTCTCCGCCTGCCCCACAAGGGCAAGGACCCAAGTTCAATCCCCGGTACCGAAAAAAAGAAAAAAGAAGAAGAATCAGGATGAAAACCAGTACCTGAATGTAACGCACAACACTAATAATATAAAAGTGGACAGAAAATATTAATGTATCCCTTGACGGAAACTATGTACAAGGAATTGTTTTATTTGATGTGGTAAAATTTAGCAGCATCTAAACCTCAGTGACTTTCGACTAACCCACCTCCAAAATATAAAAATATTCAAATATTTCTACAGCAAAGATGATGCTGATGAACCACATTTAATTATAAATAGCCTAGAACATTCTGCCACCCAGAATTTACTTGTCTTTTACAAATAGAGCTTTTTAAATGTTAAAATTATGATTTAAACAACTTAAGCTTTTATGAAAAATCTGTCAGAAATTTCACATTCCCAATGCCACCTTAACCTGTCCTTTCAGTTTAATTTTAGAACCTAAGCAAAACACACTATTCAGTTATGTTTTCTTCCGTACCCAAAAAGCCTACTTCTGAAGTTTACCAAAGCAAGGGTATTTTTCAGGTATAGTTACCCATTTCTAAAAGTGTAATACTATATAATTCTTATTGGGTTACTTTACAGTGCAGAAGTTAGTGATATGGTGGTATATGTAAGAGACAACCTGCTTGCTCCTATCTACCTTCTCATCTGATTGTGGCTGATAGTGAAAAATGAGAATATACTTCCCAACTAAACAAATACTAAACAGAATTCAGGAGCACTAGTTCATTTTTCCACAAGGTCTTCTCAAATAATTTATCAGTGTGACCTAGAAGGACTTGGAGGAATAGCTGCCATAGAGGAAATAATCAAAATCCTGCTCACTTGATATGAACTGAAATGATGTGGAAAGGTATAGGAAAATATTCTTTTCACTATCCCCACTTTACCCAAATTTCAGTACAAATAAAATTTGTCATAATCACTAGCCTAATGTCAGTAATAATTTACGCATATACCTCAAAAATGTAGACAGTGAGCACTTTATGAATGCCATTTTCTTTTTTTGTGTGCAGTACTGAACCCAGGGCCTTGCACACATTAGGCAAGTGCTCTACTACTAAGCTGCATTCCCAGTACTTTTCAATTTTTAGTTTGAGACACTCTTCCTAGGTTGCCCAGGCTGGCCTCAAATTTGCAATCCTGTCTCCCAAGTAGCTGAGATTACAGGCATGCACCACACCTGGCTTGAATACTAAATCTGTATATTTAACCTCAAAGTAGTGAGCAAATATGTACACTGGGAGGGTTAAAAGTACTCATTCATCAGATTGAAAATGTTCACTTATTTAGGTATAAATGTTCTCAAAGGAAATCAGACAGTCACTCTAAAGAGAATCTACATGCTTATAAGGGCCATTTTCTGTGTATTAACTGTAAATAAATGATTTTGTTAAAT